AACTTATTTCTTTTTTTTTTTTTTTCTCCGTTCTTGTGTTCTTTGAATGAACTTCCAGCCTGGTCAGGCAGGCATATGGGCTGTTAGCCCTCCACCTGGCGAGAGGGTTTTCACTTCCTGCACACACCACTCTGTGGGTGCTGAAATAAGTGAGGCATCAGTAGGGGCTGAAGGACTGGGCACTGTGGGTCTTTAGAAGTCACACTGCCATGTTTTCCTGTTAGCGATTTCCTTCTTCAACCTCCTCTCTTTGCAAGGCACCCCTGCTGCTTCTGGTACAGCCCACATTCTCTCCCTGGTGGAACACCCGCCAAGGAGTCCCGCTTCCAGCATGGTCAGACTTTATTTTGAACATGTGAATTTTGTGGGAAGGGAGAGGTGGGGAACAGCGGGGTGGGGGAGGCAGTTACCATGAAAAATATCATGTGGCAAAAGGGGAAAAACCCAACACCCCCCTCCCCGTCTAAAATTAGAAGTGCCGTTAACAATACATCAGTCTTTTGACTTTGTGTGTTTCTGGCACTCATGCTTGCAATGGTCAGGACTGTGTATAACAAAATATCCACGGGTTTTCTGCAACATTCACATCTTGAATGTTTTGCCCTGTTGAATCAGAGATCTTTTTGCCTTAAAAGCACATAGAACACTCTGTGTTTATGATCAGACTGTCGAAATGTCAAGGCTAATTACACTAGTGTGTTCCCAAGTGAATAAATGCGTCTTTTAAAGAATATCCTGTTGAGATCAACAAAATAAGATGTTGGCATGATCACTTGAGAACTACTTAAAGGAAAAAATGATAATAAGAGGCAGGATCTAAATATTAGGAAATAGTGATGGGAGAAACTTATTAGTTCACCTTATCCATTCTACATTGGTGTAAAATGCTTCTTTTTATGTTCTACTACAGAGGAATTTCTTTTTTGGTCAGTCTAGTTCCAGGTGCTAGGAAAAACTGGAGCCTCCAGTACTTAAAGGGCTATTTTTTTTTCCTTTTGTTCTAAATTTCATCCTCTCCAGTTCTCTTTTTGAGATGTAAATTTTGGCCAGACTCTGGGGTACAATTTTGTTTCCAGATCATCTGGGTTATTTACATTCCAGCTTTGAAAGTGGCATAGGAACTGCGGAGCCCAAGCCTCACTGAAATGAATGTAACTTGGCTTCTGTGCAGACTTAGGTTTTTGGATGCTTGGATCCCTCAGCCAAGTCATGTTTCCTCTGTCCATGTCTGCATTTGCACAGCACCAAGTGCAATATTCACCTAATCTAGAGCTCCTGCACGTTACACCAGCATGAGTAGATTGTGTTCCTTCAGACTGCTTGTGTAAGACCGCTGTGTTTTGAGTCTCAAAACTGCAGTAGCTTGCTTAGCCACTGCTTTTGCTTCCACGGGGGATTTCAGTGTGGTCCTGGTGATTTGATCATGCAGACCTAGGATCGGTGTGCCTGCCACTGAGATCCACACAGTTGCTGGTGAAGGCAACACACAAAATACATTAGTTTGTCAGGTGAAGTAGTTGTAGATAGTTTGGAGTTGGTTTTCTGTTGTGTTCACTGCAGGGTGGCACTTTATCACAGAATGACACTTGTGATCTTCTCCAGGGGCTGCACTGTATTCTGAGCATCCCTGAATCCAGGTGATGGTTGTGTCCCTCTCAGAAGGGAGGCTGTAGGAGAGCAGAAACATCCTATGGGGACCTGCTAGACTTGAAAAGGCTACTCACAAGATGAGGATTTCTTCATGTTAGTGGAAGCTGAAATCTGCTGCACATAAGGGGGCACTGTGTTTAAATCACATTGGAAATGTACAAACAAAAGAAAATATTTCCCCAGGTGCTTACAATATGTTTCTAAGCAAACACATTGGCTTGTGGTGACTAGATTTATTTTTAAGTCTTGGCTTGATATTAGCAAATTTTTCAAGATTTCTTTAATTAGTGATAGTAGTGCCCAAGGATTTTTCATGTGAGGATTTAAAAAATAAAAGAAATCTGGACTCTTGAAAATGAATCAAGGCTGTAGTCCAAGTGAAATACTATGATTAAAAAAATAATTTTGGTTAACACAGCGTGTGTTAATATGCTATGCTAATATCGCTTCTGAATAAAGCTTGAGATCTGACTAATTCCCATAAAATTTACAAAAAATGTAAATAAAACACTTAGACTTGAGTTATTCAGGTTTGAGTTGTTTAATTTTGAGTAACTTGTTCTTGATTCGATTTCTTGTTTGTTTTTATTTTCTTATGTGCCTCTGCCATCCTGTAGTGATGAGCGTGTGTGATATTAGTGGCAGTAAGACTTGCTCTGCAGTGGAGTGACAGTGTCTGGAGCTGACAAGCCTGGAGCTGTGACAGTGCCAGTGGCATGTGACATGGGTGCCAGTCAAGTAGCACATCCCAGTTCATGTAGCCTGGTTTCTGCACAGCCCAGGCAGGTTTCTGCACCCCTGCAGAGTCCCACTTATATTACTGGGGCTCCAAGTGGCAACAAAGCTGTGCACCAGGATGTTAATTGTGTGGCTGCTGCAGACCTTTTGATACCATTGAGTGTGTCCCTTTCAGGGATGTCTGATACATAGCTGCAGTTCTGGAAAAAATGCAAGTCTGTAAAATGAGCCAAAATCTGCCTGTAATTAGAAGCACAAAACCTGGCATTAGTGCAAATCGCTCTCTACTGCATTAACATTTGGGATCTGACTCATTTTAATAAAGATCTGGAGCTTGAAGAAAAATGCTTATCTGTAGAGGAAACAAAATCTTGTTACTTCATTTTTCTTGGTGAAATCCATTCATGTAATGTAGTTCAGTCAGTGTTCTCAAAGTGTTTAGAGGTCATCAGATAACCTTTTTGACCTGAAGAAGGGAGAGTGTTAAGGAAAAAGCTGCAGTTAATGACCTGGGTAGGCTAATTACAACGTACATTTGCTGTTCCCTCCTTACTCTTTGACCTCCATTATCCTTCCTAAGTGTTCTTTGGCTCTTTAGCAAATCCTCTTTCTTGCTCTCCAGTGTGTCTTGTCCTCTTTTCCTTCCCAATATGGTTGTTTTCAGAAGATATTGCTGCAGGAGTGTGAAACTGGTGTGCTTTGGGGGACAAAGGCAGGTGGAAACAGTCTGTGAGGAGTAAATAAGAAATTTAGACTTACGTGTCAGTGAAGGAAGTAAAGGGTAAGAAGAAAACTTAAAAAGGGTATAGATGTCTATAGGAGGAGAAATAAAAAAATATTGCTGAATCTAGACACACCCTCAACTATTGCTCATCACAGGTTTCACATCTCCACCCTGGTGACTTGTCCCTGCCAGCTGCTTTCAGAAATGGCTCATGTGGAGGCAGAGGGGAGTTAGTATGTACGGTAAAAAAACAAGAGAGGGATTTGTAGGGTAGAACAGAGGCTCAGTCTATCCCTCTGTCCTAAATCTTAAACCAGAGTGGGAGTGTATAATCGAGGAGTAGTTGTGGCCAAAGGAGAAGGCAGCTGTATGAGCCGAGCATCTCATTCTGAAAAGCGTATGAAGCCAAAACAAACTACGTGGTGACAGATGGCCTACGTCAGAAACCAGATGGCCCAGTGAGTCCCACCACTCCTGTTATGAAACAGAAAGCAGGGAAGCCCACAGTGTAGTTCAAACTGTTTTTATACTCTTATGTGAGGGCCCACTCATGGTTTGTAAATGATGCTACACCTAGAATTCTAGTCTGTGATGGCTGATTCATAAGCCAGCATGGGCTGCTTGCAGGAAGGGTGACAGATCTGAGCCCCAGTTTTTACAAATACATCAATACGTGGCTCATCAGCTCACTTGCCTCAGAGGCTTTCAGGCCAGGCTGCCTTACAGGCTGTGCAGAGCTCCCTTGTAAGGTGCTAACACTCAGTTAAAGTCTTATCTAATTGATAGTATCCATGGATGATCATTGCAGCTGCTTCAGGGTGTAGGATTATGAGCAACTGTCTGCTTGTTTACAAATGTGTATAGTTTCTGTTATCTTAAACAACCTTTATTTTCTGTGGTCATCCAACTCATGGACCTGAGCTCTGTAATCAAGAAGTTGCTCTGAAACTGCAGCAGGGCAATGTGCCTGCAGGCTGGTCCAGGCACCCCTGCAGTGACTCGTTGCCCTTCCAACTTGTGGCAGTTTAATCACTGTGATATCAGTATTAACCTATGTGTTTTGCAGCTCTATTATTATGTCTACATTTGTGAAGTCTCATGTGTGCAAGTCTTGCCTCTTCCTTTCTTGGAGGGAATAAGCCATCCAAGACTTGGAAAACTTAAAACGAACTGAGAATGGCATGAAGAAAAGCAGATTTATAGTTAAAATGTTGCACTAATCCAAACCCCATCTGGTTGGTATGCTGTCCTGGGAACAGATTTCAAAGTGGTTCTGAAATGCTAATCTAGTGCTGAAGTTCTGACCTACTGTTGTAAGTTTATTAAGAGATGTTTTTTACATATGTGAATACATGAAAACTTCCTGGGAGGGATTTGTGTGTTTTGTACATGGGGCTTGTATTTTTCTAATTAAAAGCTTAAAGTTCTGTTGGCCATTAGGACAATATAGTATCCCAATATATAAGTACATGCACCTTCTAATAGTGCATTGAGTGCTGCTACTAACTTGTCAGCAAATTAAAGATGATACAGACTAAATAGCTTTGACTGGCACTTAGATTAAATGGAGAGATGTTTCCCCTTTCTTATTAAATGTGGCACAGTAATGATAGTGATTGATGGCTATTAAAAGCACTAAAGCTTGAAAGAGCAGTCAGCTTTCTTCTCAGGAGAGGAAACTAGGGATCAGAATTCCCATGTCCTGTCTGCTGAACCATGGAAGTGTGTGCCAAGGGCACCTTTCTTGTCTAGAAGCACTGAGTCTGGTGTGCACCTTGTGTATCTCTCATCTCAGGCACTGAATGCATTTGAAATATGATGCCATTATTTCTGACGCAGCTGAATTAAATGTACAAAAATCAAATGTTCGTGTTTAAAACATTTGTAGGTCTGGTTTAGTAACCGTCGTGCCAGATGGAGGAAACAGGCAGGAGCCAATCAACTGATGGCTTTCAACCACCTGATCCCTGGAGGATTTCCACCCAGTGCCATGCCAACTTTGCCGACGTACCAGCTCTCTGAGCCCTCTTACCAACCCACCTCCATACCGCAAGGTACAGTAGCCAACAGGTACTTGGTTAAAATAGAGTTACTGGGGGGTTTACCATGTTGATCCATTGTAGAAATATTTTCTAATGTGTCGGCTAATTCAGGGTCTGACTCAGGGAGAACCTTGCAAGCCTGCTTATTTTAAGCACGTAAGAACTCATGTTTGTTTTGCTGCAAGAAAGGGCTGGTTCTACATGAAGGGTGCTAGCTAGAGAAATAATCACCTCCCTTGTGGTAGGTGTGTAGCTTTGGTAAAGACATGTACACACACTCCTGCCCTTCTACTGTATTGGCCTCCTCTGCTGCCCAGAGCGGTGCAGAAGGAGGCAGGTGCACTTTAGATTCTTTGAGGCCTTCAACAGTGGTGCACTGGAAACTTCTGAATATTTATCTGATGGTGGAAGAACCAGCTATTCAGACCGTTTTGTTTCACATCAGACAATAGCAAGTCTCAGTATGGTAAAAATTTTCCTTTATGTTATCAGAAATTCTGTGAACTTTGGCGGATTTGAGGGGTGAGGGAACAGAGCCTCAAACCTAGACTATGTTAGATTTTAGTATTAAAGAAAAACCTTACTGGTGAGATTTTATAAAATATGTTACTGTGTTTCCTCCTTGAGATTTGGATGCTAATTGTTGATGGATGTTCTAATTAAGGGAATTTTTCTAAGCCCAGGGCTTCTCCCATGCATTGCTAGGCTTGCTACAAACCACGGCAGAATTTCTGTGCTGTGACCTGGAGGGGAAAACCTGTTGTTAGTCTTCTAAGGAAATAAATATTTTCCTTTATTTATATATATCTATATCTCTCTCTATATATAAAATATTACTGACCAATATGTGCCCACTAAGAGTGTCCCCCAAGGTCTGAAAACTGCATGTGTCTGTTGTTATGATGTTTACAGTCTGCTTAAGAATTTTTGTGTGATCTTACAAGCCAGTTAAATATCTAGCAATAATAAAGATTTACCTTCCTACTTAACCAGTATTTAGATGCAGGTTCTGATGCAATTCTGTTGAGCTTCACATAATGAACTTATTATGCCAGAAATAAAGGAGTGAAACATATCGACACGCTTCTTTTGCTTCTAGCTGTGTCTGATCCAAGCAGTACCGTCCATAGACCTCAGCCTCTCCCTCCAAGCACTGTACACCAAAGCAGCCTCCCTTCGAATCCAGAGAGCAGCTCTGCCTATTGCCTACCCAGCACCAGGCATGGATTTTCCAGCTATACAGACAGCTTTGTGCCTCCGTCCGGGCCCTCAAATCCCATGAACCCTGCCATTGGCAATGGCCTCTCACCTCAGGTCAGTCCTGTGTTTTCAGACAGAGGATTTGCTGTATACCAGAACCAAAGAGTCTATTCCCTCAGGCCACAGTATAATGAATTGCCAAATTTAAACCATAATGTATTCTTTATATAAGCCACATGATTTCAGTTTGCTAGTTTCCTTCTTTTTTTTTTTTTTTAAATTTTTTTCCTCCTACTGGCTGAATCAAGAGTCATAGTTTATATTTAATTTCAACTGATTTATAATGAAATCATGCGGACTTCACTTTTGCATTCAGTTGTCAACCATTTGTAATGTACTCTTCTTCTCCTGAAGACAGATCTTGTAGCTTTTCCGTGAATAAAATATCACTTTAAGATAACCTCATCAAGATTTTACCGACTGGTACAGGAAAATTACAGGCAAGTTGTACGAGGAAAGTTCCAAGGACTGAGCACTGAGATGAGTGTGCATTGAGATGAGTTATAATCAAGTTATAAATACATAAATTAGGAGTATTACTGCTGTTTGGCAACATATAAATGCATGAATACCATAATTGTTTTTCTAATTCGCGTGAGCTCTTTTAAGGAAATCATGTTAATAAATTGCTTTGATAATTGAGTGTCAAAAGGTTGGTTGAATTTTCCTACACATGTCATCTGTCTGAAGCCGACATTATTAGTTAAAGTTTAAATAGATGGTAGTTTATTTTATTAGCTAGAGCTTTGCCCAGGTGCTTGGAAAGAGATGTCCACTAAATTCTGAAGATTCACAAAGAGGATGCAATCTATAATTACAATCAGAAATCTCTTCAGGGCTGAAAGTGAGAGTTTTAACAGCTTTATCTGCTTTTTACCCTTTTTTCCTCTCAGTGGTTAGAAAAACAGAGAGAAGCTCAGAATGACACAAATGAAAAGTGAAAAGACAATTATACTCAATTACACACTAATCACTGACTATCACCACTGCCTAAGCGGGGAGAGGGCATTCTAATAGGCAGAAAATGAGATTTTAATGGCACAAAGGGTGGCCAAAATAACGACTCGTATATCTTTGCCTCCTTCGTTTTCCTCAACTTGTGGTTTGCATCTCGGGAGTACAGTTCCTGGTTCCTGTGCAACGGTGATAACTCTGTGCAGCTGAAAAGTTCAAAGGCACTGGAGTTGAAAAGAATGAATAACAAAGGCAATGAAATAAACATTTTTGCCCAAAGGCAAAAGTTCATAAACCCTTTTTTGTAACGGTAAATGTAATTAAGATTCACAGATTCCTATAGCATAGAGTGGGGCACAAAACTTTATGGCTTGAAACCTCAGGAAAAAAATACCAACAGGAAAACAAACGGATGTACTTCCAACAAGACTTGGATAGATTTCCTTTGAAAGAATTCTGATTTCTAAATGCAATCTCCAACAAAATACATGACATTATATTAGTTGCCTTATTTATTTATTTATTTATTTATTTTTAGTGACTAATTTCATAGTGTGCAAGGCTTCAACGTTTTTGACATAATTATCTATCTGGGGTTCTATGTTAATCTATCAAAAGTGTTTGTTAGTGTCAGTTGAAATGTATGTTGGTTCTGCTTATGGAAAATGTGATCTTTTATTTTTCCTTTCACAAAGCTTTTATTGTCTGTGACCCAGAAGGAGAGCACAACAGTAAAGAAATCTTGTGATGGCTGGGCAGAATGGGACAAAAAAGTGAGGCCAGGCTTCCTCCCCCCAGAGTCTTGCTGATTTGAGGTTTGATATAATCAAGGGAGATCCTGGAGAAGATTAAATTACTTTAATCAGTTCTGTGCTTCCTTACACCCAACCTTGTCTTTATACTATGAAACTTTTGTTGTTTTGGCTTTTTTCCCCCCTCTTAAAACTTTTGAAATCTTTTTCTAACCCAGTGTTTAGAGCTCCTGGCCTTGTCCAGCAACTCTACCAACAGGTTTAGGAAGACACTGATCCCTCTGAAGCCTGACATCATGCATTTGCCACTCAGTGCATAGAGGAGACAACTTGCATCCATTTAGATTTTGAACAACAACTTGGCAACTGAATGATTACCTTCACCAGCTGATAAAGATCTTCCCATTAAACAAACAAACAAATAAAAATCCAAGCCCTAAATTCATAGGTGTTACCAACAGCTCCTTTAAATCAGTTTTGGTGCCTAAACAATGAGTTAAGAGACATGTATAAAATGTAGAGCTTTATAAAGTGGCATACCCAGACTTCGTGTTTATATAAGAGAGTGATACAGCCACAAACATACAAATCACGTGTGGGGCTGTAGCAAAACAGGAAAGTCTCACAGACCAAAGGAACCTCAGCTGTTGGTCACGTAGGTTGCAATGTTAGTGTGTGAAACATCCCTTGGCTGTGGGGTGTGTCACAGCTCATCCCCTCTCCACCCTTCCTCAGGGCTCTTCCCACAGCCTCCCGGGTGCTGCCCCAGAGGATGAGGTAGCAGTGGATGGAAAGTCGAAAGCCAGCTCTGCGTTGGGGGTTTCATGAAGAGGAGAAGCAGGAGTTTTCCTGCTGAGTGGGCACGTTGCAGTGCCCTGCCAGTGTGCATGGAATTTAGATGAGAAAGAAAGAGGGTCTTTTTATTAGCCAGTGGATTTTTGACCACAATAAATCTGGGTGTGTGAGCAATTAACATAATGTTTCCACCCATCCATGTGTCTCTTGCTGGCAAATGCTCTGGACAAACTGTGTGTAAAGCTGAATTTATGGTGACTTTAGGGGGGGGTGGAGAGGGGAGCTTTGTCTGAAGCCCAGATAATCTTTTGTGATTTAAAAAAACCCACCCTTAGAATGTGCAGAACAAAATCTAATACTAAGATTCACAGGATCATATTCTTAGTATACTTAAGCTTCTTTCTCTCCTTTGACATCAATTTATTGCAAATGAGGTCTGACACACAGAACTCTGGGGAAGCCTTATTTTCCATGTGGGATGTTCCATTCTAACTTGAATATGACAGACAAATATGTTGTTTAAGGCAAGCCCTGGGTGAAGGCACAGGACAGGGAGAGATGGCCAGGGTGCTGTGATTTTATTTTTATTGTGTTAACCTTGAATTTGGAGGTTAGAGGACATGGTATGTCTTGGTCAGTTTTAGGAAGCATAATGCTACATATAACATACTTGTCTTGCAAGCTGGGTATTAAAACATTGTTACTCTTGTTAAAAAAAATAAGAGAACAAAAAGAGTTCCACCTTCTTAATTTTTGGCATTTTTTAACATCAAGACAAGATCTGCAGGTCCAGATGACTAATTATTCTCCTTGTTCATCTGGTTTATTCATTGTTACCTGGATGCAGTGAGAGAATCTCTGTCTTGCAGACCTATGAAGTGTTGACTTTTGCAGGAAAAAGGCAGGGATTAATGTCCTGGGGAGCTGATAGCCTGGAGTGTCCTTGTTTGTATTTCATGAAAAAGCAACTCAACTGCAAGCATGCCATCTCAGCCAGAGTTCTTTAAAAATAGCATCAGAACAGAGATTATTAGTGTGTAATATATGTAAATTGCATATTTTTATGTTTTCTATGCCTATTATGCAGCTTCTTGCCTCTCGTGCATACGTTTATGGGAATATTGTATTTCCTTTTCAAATTAGGTTTCAGTTGCTCAGTGCACTTTCTTTTAGCAAATATTTGTTCACTCAAAATTTTGAGTGGGTAGCATATCTATGCATTAATATGTGAGTACAGCACCTGGGTGTGCTTCTGAGTTGGCTTGTCCCTTTCTGATCCCAGTGTCAGGGGCCACTGCCAGCTCCTCGATCCTGCTGCAGAAACACTTGTCTCGCACCTGCAGGTGTATGGTCACAGCAAACAGCAGACTGTTTTTAAGACAGGATATCAATATTTTGAACTGCTTCATTTAAGATAAGGGAAAAGGCTTTTCCGGTGTACACGGGCATCCCCTGACCTTGTCATGTGCTTTTTATTAGTGTGGAAGCAGCAGAGTTTGCCCTACACCAGGAGATCAGGCAGTTTGCTGGTTTGGAGAGTGCTGTAGCTGTTTTGGGCTGCTGTGGATTCAGGTGGAGCAACAATACTCTGCTCAGGTTCCTGCCCATGAGGTTGTGTGCTTTCTGTGTTTAACCTGTAGGACATTTAACTTGTAGGTTACCCAGGCTTAAACAGTACTGCAGTGTTAAGGTTTTACTGGAAAAAGAAGTGTGTGCTACCTGTCTCCTGCTAGGCATATTTTTTTTCCTCCTTGCCTTGTAGAAAAACTTCTCATATCTACTTTTTCCTCTTCTGTGCCTTCTCCCACTATAATTGAATCAGTAACTTTAAAGGCTGCAGTTTTAAACTGGGAAATGGATTGAATGTTGAAGGGGCTGTGTAGAAGATCATAACAGGCTTTAACAAAGTTTGCAGTTCCCGTGCCATTACCTGGTGCTCAGGAATAATCCTAATAAGAAAATTCCAAACTTTTCCATGAACAGTAGTAAAGATGCAAGCTCTTTCAAGTTTTCTTTCTTCTACTGTCAAAACATTTCACTGCCTGAGTTTAAGAATTACCCTGTAACTCCTTTTGGTGTGATAGATCTTAGGCAATGGGCTTCCCTTAAGTCTTTGAGAGCACTTGGTTTTCATTAACCTGAAGTATGGAACTGATGGCAGCTGTCGAATCAGTTAGATATGTTCATATTGTCTTGTTAACTCTGTTTGTAAGGGAGACACATGAACCAGGGGCTAAAAACCTTCATTACCTCATTAAGAGGGATGAGAAGGAGGGGGAAAAAAAAGCAACTATTAATTTTTCCTATACCTTTTGTTGGATTACTGCTGCATTGGTTGCCCACAGAAACATTTCACTTGGATTCAAGTCCCACAGCAGTGAGAAGCTCATGATGTTTGTCACAATGCACTTGGCTTTGAGAGCTCTTTGCTTAATGACCCAGGAACATGAGACAGGTCAGGGATTTCTTTGTGAGGAAGAAAGTAAATTCACATGATATAATTTTCATGAACATGAGTTTGTTGGTTTTTTTTTTAATTAAAAAACAAAAGCC